AAAAAATTAGTGAGGATAAAAGTAAATCTTCTAGTATATAAAATCCTTATGCTTTGATTTGAGTATTAATTCACAGATTGTCTCTTAATATGTTGTTCCTAGCTCAGTAAATCTTATGGGGTTTTCTCCCTCAGGAAATCACATGGGGTGATGTCTTAGTGTGATTTATTTTATTTGTATGTCTAAGTTTGCACAGAATTGTCTTTCACAGCAGCATTTTTACATGAAGATTTGTATTCCTTGGAAAATTTGGCAAACTGGGGAGTATTTAATAATTTGTCAATGAAACTTTAAATGAAATTTGTTGCAACTTTGTGGATACACATGATGAGTGTGATGTGGTATACTAAGTAGATATTTTAAAGGGATGTGTTCAAAAGATTATATTACATATTTTTCATATTTAAATGGCTTTCTGAGAGGAAATGTGTTCTAGCAAATGGCAGACTACATGTGTGAACAGAAGCAGGGCTAACCTAAAATCTAGTTTTACTATTTCTCTAATGCTATGTTGTCTTTCTTGTCTGCATAACATTTAGTTTTAAGATTAGATATAATGAGGAGGTCAACATCAAAGCAGGGGAAACAGTGTACACCTGTGAAATGGAAGAGGGGAGTCTGAGCTCTCTGCTATGGAGGGGCTCCCTCTCTGTCAGCCCTGTGCTCTCACTTGGAAAATCAGAACTGGAAAACCCCACTTCTTCTAGAAGCTGGTGGCATAAGTACAGGGTGGTGTTCACCTCTTTGGAGAGAGGAAGTGGTCTGTAACAATTATGTGTTTGATAGATGCATCTGCTTGCTTGGTTGGGATGGGCACTGCTATATTTTTACCTTCCTTTATGGTTATAAGCTGATGGTGAGCTCTGCAGTGGTGTTTGGAGTGAGCTGTTGTCTGTCTAAAGTTTTGAGCCTTTTTTTTTTTTTTTTTTCCGAGTTACAAGGTTAGGATTGGACCTTCCCAGTTTATTGAAATAATGTGATTAGGTGAAAGACAAGATTCAAATAACATTAGAGAATACCAAGACAGATAACCTTGTTTGGGAAACAAAAGAAAACAAAATAAAAAGGGCTATACCTAAATAAAGAGGAGAGTATGTGAAACAAAGAAGAAAAACAGACCCTGAGATATGTGCTTTTTCTAAATGAGAAAACAATTGTAGTAAATGCACCCCCTACATGCATAACCCCTGCCCCCAAACCAAACGGACGTGCAAAAATCAACCGAACACACAGACACACACATTCCCCTGCTACCATGTCACTGACAATTTCCCAATATTGCTGTTCTGCATCAAGCAGCTAAGGCAGTATTGCAATGCAGTTGCTGCAGGGATATTTTCTGATTTTTGAATAGGTGACCAGAAAAGAACGTGATGATGGGTCTGAATGTGGTCCCTGCTATGAATAATTGTAGAAGCTCTCCATTCCATCCAAGCCTTGTTGTATGAACTTGATAACGAAAAACATTTTATATTTCATGACAGCATAGAAGTAATTTTTAGCTACTTAGATAAAGGTGTATCATGATACAAATACTGTTGAAGCCTGGATGTCTTTGTGTATGTAGGCACACAGTCTGTGGTGATTGGGATGGGGCTGGCCCAGCCTCATCCCCAGTGGGCACAGCTGTGAGCAGCACTGACAGCAATGAGCCATGGAGTGCCCAGGGGCTCTGACCAACCACCAAAGGGAGCAGAGGGCACACAGGGGCAGGGCATCAGCATGAGGGGATAAAAGGCTGGGACAAAGAACAAGGAGGGCAGATGCTTGCAGCCTTCTGGGGCGATGTGATGTTACTCTGTATGGGCAGATGCCTGAAGTGGTGAGGTGTTACTGTGTATGGGTTAAAGCTTTCTGGTATTGTGTGGTGACACTTGTGTGTCGTGGCCATCTCAACTGTGACATGTGCTGTGGCCTGTGCTGTGGTATGTGTAGATATGACTTTATTGCAATACTGATTTTTCTTTTTATAACATACATCTTGCTGACAATAATTCTGATTGAATTTGTTGAAATTGTTTAACAGTAACTTATCTCCGCTCATCTCCAATAATTCCTTCACTATATTTGATTGTATATTTTCTGTTGCAAAGCATGATCTAAGTACCAGGTACCGTAGTGCATATTGCTACCTTAAAAATCCTGACTGGGTGACAAGAATGAATTACAATTATAAATTAGTGCATAAGTCTCCTATTTGATAGTGGGAGCTTCAGCAAAATATGGGCACTGGGTGATTAGCTGGTATTCAGTTTTGGATAGTCTAAAGTAAATTTGGTGTTTCATTTCCTGAAATAAACAAAAGAAGTTTCTGAACTGTCAGAAAATAACAGTAGTTCTTAAGGGCTAGTTACAGATCTTTGTTGTGGAATTGTAGTTGTTCCATGAATTCTGCTTCAATCAGGGAGAAATACTCATAAGTGCCAATAAAAATTTTTATGCTGCTAGGGTTTCCTCCTACCTTCCTCCTCTCAACTTATGACTTTATTCTACTGTCTCTGTTATTAAGTGACACTTTACACGGTTTGAATGCAAATTACTTCAAACTCCCTGTTAGTGAGGCAGAATCACATCAGGTTAATAGCCTGATTAGTATGTGCTACAAAGAAGTGCTGGGTACTGCACAAACCAAAGAAGATGGCTAGGAAGCTGCTTCACAGCATAAGGAAATAGAGTGTTTAATTTTTTAGTGTTTTCTAGATTGGCTTGGCTGTGTCTAAAGCAACCTTTGTAAGCAAATGGATCAAATGCTTGGCTCCATCATTTTGCCTTGGTCTGTTCTGTGCTCATCCTCTCAGGTGATGGCACAATGCATGTTATATTTTCGTATCTATCTTAGAGAAGATAAAATGATTTTTCGGATGCTATTTTTTCTCCATTTCTAAAGTGAAGAGTAGTATGTGATATGTTTTAGAATCTAATGTTGTCTCTTCATTGAAGCCAGTAAATAAATTCCAGCTGATGTCAATGTGAACAGGAGTCAGTGTGTATTTTGTGGTTCTGACAAACTTATTTTCCACACCAGTGTCACTCAGCATATTCTTACAACTCTTCAATATTGTGCACTCAGGTGATTGAATAGTTTTTCTCCACTTTTTTCATAATCTTAAAAATGCGGCCTCATTTACCAAACTAACAACTGTAATCATGTCCACAAAGCAGTACCATTTTAGATGGGAAAGAAACAGATTTTGGCACTGCCCAGCAGAAACCTTACAAGGCTTGTATAGTCTGCACACAGGAACTGTTGTGACAGGTTTATCGCCAGTGTTTACAGACCTGCTTTGACTTCTCTACATCAATGTCAATGCTTGCTATTGCAAGCTGTAATTTGAGGGTTGAAACGTAGAATACCAAGGGATTTAAAGTATACTTAAATGCATGTTTGCAACTTCAAGTCCTATAATTCCTGAAGATTTATATCTTTACAAGAGCCTGAAATAACAATGAGCCTTTGGAGCACTTCTGCCTGTTAGAGAGGCTCTTAGTTTGAAATTGTACCATTTTCAACATAATGAAATTAACAGTGGGTAACACAGCTCTAGGAACCACAGCTGCATTGACCTGTCTTCCAGTATTTATTGTTCAGTGTATATTTTAATTTTTACCCTCTGCTAAAAGAATATTTTATGTCCTGTTACTCAGAGGCCCTCTGAAGGATAAAGAAATACTGGAATGACTGCCAGCAAAATCCTGTCAAATGTGCAGTCAGCAGTTTGCATTTAAAATACTGTCTAAATTGTGATTCAAAGCTTGTGCAAAAGAATGTTTGTTTGTTTTCAAATTTGTTAGAGACCTCCTGAGAGTTGCTCTGTGCTTTTGGGAAATCAAACATTTCCCAAATTAAAAACATATAGGGAAAGTCTTAGAGTCTTTTGTTTTCTGTGAAAACACATATTTAAAAACAATGTGGGATTAACACAGTGTGTGTTGGAGCAAATTGTTAGTATTGCCCATGTGTTTTTCTCCTCTGTTGTAATGAACTTAACCCCTAGGGAGTATTTCATGCATAGCTGTTAGGAAAAAATACCATAGGGTGGAAAGCCCAAAATTTAAGTGTAGACATGATAAATTAAATGCAAGGCTTTGCCAAACAAAAACAAGCCCTAGTGTTTGTTCTAGTCCATACTTCCAGTGCAGCAGTGGTGTGTGTTGGTATGTGCTGGCTGGCAGTCAGTTGGTTATCAGTAAGTGAAATATTGTAGCTATTGCATAAGAGTTGAATCTCAGGGATATCTCTACCCACGATATTTTTTGTTCACGATGTCATTGCCTCCATGGCTGTATGTGGCCAGGGGAGTAAGTTTTATTTTGCAATAAGTGAAACTGGATTCCACTGCTGTGTTCTCTGCACACTGAACTGCTGTGCAGGTTTGGATGCTGGGTTGATGATTTCCTTGGAGCTGGGATTTCTGGGGCTTTGTGCTGTTGATCAGCTTCTCCTGTGGCATAACCAGATCATCAATCAAATGATATGTCAGGAGAGATAAAGGCATGTTTTGTCATGGGATAACCTTGTCAAAATAATTGAACCAACTTCACAGAAAATACAGCCTTTAAACAGCTCCAAGATAAGCAGTGAAGTGTAAGGAAAACTTTATCTTGCATGAAAAGTTTGCAGTTGACTTTTGGGCTGGAACTGAGATAAAAATTGGAATATGCCCTTAGCACTTTTTTTTTTTTTTTTTTTTTTTTTTTTGTGTAGTGTATACTTTTCTAGTGTCTTGACAGTATTGTGATTCAGTTCCACATTTAAATCAAATGCATATTTCTGGGTCACAGTGGCATTTTGGGAGTGAACTGTCAAGCACTTAAAGCATATTTGATGTGCACATTTAGTGGTGAATCTCTCATGAAAAGAATTATAGGAGCACATCCCTTGGTAGAATCCCTTATCTATGCTTAAGCAGTAAGTAGAGTGTATTTTTTCCAATAAGTGTTTAAAGTCTTTTTTAATTAACAGGATATTGAATCACAAACATTGCTGATTAAAAAAAAAAAATTGAGCAACTGTAGAATTTCCAGGGTATAAGCTGTTCAGATAATGTACCCTTTCTAGAGTCAAGTGTTCATGTCAGACTCTGTACATGGTTCTCCTCCATGTTGCTGACTTAAAAACAGTTACTTGTAGGGTTAATGAGAAACAAAACTTGAGAGAAACAGTCTAAACATACAGTGAAGAATAAGTTAAACTGACACTTATTTAAAGTTATTTTGTATTGTTTTAATATTTTCAGTATTTCAAAATACAACCAGTCTGATGTAGACAGCTATGTGAAAAAGGTTACTGGTTTTGAAGTTGTGTTAGATAGAAAGCTGTTGAAAATGTGTTATTTTCTTTTTAAACAGAACAGTGCATGTAAAAATGACAGATCACAGTATAGAGAACCATCACAGATAAGCAGAGAAAATAAAAAATGCCAGAAATATAATTTTTCAGAATTTAACATGTAAAAATGGCACTGTATAGTACTGTCTAGTATACAGAGTATGCCTTTCTACTGCTTCTTTCCACTTGTATCTGGAATAATCACAAAAATCATGTTCAACATTAACAATGCTCTGGCGGGTGACATTCCACCTCAGGTGCACTTATTTATGTCCTGCCTTTGAAAGGCATCCTGCAAATCATACATGTGGCCTCACTTTACAGGTGCTGCTGTACAGACAGTGGGCCTTGGGTCTGGAATCTTGCTTCTCATTCCTGATCTTTTTGCAGTGCAAAACCTAATCCTTATAGAAGCTTAAAATTTACTTTGTTTTAACAAGTTTATAGTAATTTATTTTAGATCCTTTAGTGTTTAATAGGTGATTTGAAAATTAAATAGCACTGCTGTAATACATATTTTCACAAAATTAATTTATTTCTGTTTTGTATTCTGGTTTAGCTGTTTTGGGGTGGTTTTTTTTTTTTTTTTTGGTGTAGTTGTGTACCATGTGATAAACTAAGCAGGTGGAAGATTCAGGCTTAGCTAAGCAGGAGGAGGATTCAGGCTAGGTATGCAAAGCTCATCTAAGCCCATAGGCAATATGTTGTTTCCCTTTCCTGGGCATGTATTTAACTGATGGATTTCAAGTGCATAATTCCACTTTTTTTTTTTTTTTTTTTTTTTTTTTCTGAAAGAAAAGTCAATAGCAACAAAGTGGCTGCTAGTATCTTACACCCATCTTTTAACTTCAACTTTTCTGTTTATTTACTCAATTTCACAGAAATGGCCAGGTTTGCATTTGCTTGAGAATATGAGTTGGGGATGCTTGAAATTCTCTGTAATTCCAAGTGGAATAGAAATTCTCTTTCAGCATTTTCTATTTTTTTTTTTTTTGTTTTATTTTTAATTATCTGGCTGTCTTTGGTTCAAAAATTTTTCTTAAAATGCTACTTAATGGGGTTAATTATCTTTACAGTTTTGTATTTGTTCAGCAACAGTCTTTGCTTTCCATCCTTTTCTAACAATTCTTAACCTCTGATCACTCATGATAAAGCTCCAAGGTAGGGCTCTGTCTGTCCTCCTGCCCCAGAGCCTTTGCTTAATTGCAGCCTAACAACACTACCAGTGCACAAAGCTCAGGAATAACTAATATACATAGAAAATAAGTTATACAGTAGATAAACTATAAAAATTTCACAGGCCTAACCTTTAACAGTTTTTCACTTTTTTATGTGACACTGTAAGATACGGTATGAAGTGAGTTTTAACAGGGATATGCAGGACTGAGTTCTATTTTATTTTCATACAAATTGGAAATGGTAAAATTCAATCTACCATTCTTTTCACTGTCAACCCCTCCTCCCCTCCCCAGTCCCTTCTTATTATCATATCTTGTTATCATCAGGTTCCCTTCTGGAACCTGAAGCTGCTCCCACTGCAGCTGCAGTATGATGTGGCACTGCTTATATTCCAAGTGGATCTATTTGCATCGAATACTCAGCTACAGGCAGCCTGAGTCAGGCTGTTCAAAGCCATTATTCATAATGTAATGTGATCTTGTGTTTAACACAGTATTCTAAATAAATCTGTCCCTAAAATTAAATTTACTTTCTAAAAGGTTAAGCCTAAATTTGGCTTCAAACTCTAATTTGTATGTAGGAAAATTAGGAATTTACTAAGTCTCCTCTCCAAGTAAACTTCATTAGCTTAGTCTGTTCTGGGATACAGAAATGAATTACTGAACTGCTGTTCTACAAGTGATTTTGGAGCTACCTAGGTATTTTCTCCAATAAGAATTGCAGACACAACCTGTTAATCTCAAAGATTTAAGGGAGAGCTGGGTGAGGATAGAGGTTAAAAGCAATGAGGAATAGTGGTAAAAAATGTTACAGTATTACACAGAAATACTTTAAGGATAATATTTCCTAAAAATTATTTCTATATACATATATATAGCTGTAGTTATACACATAACAGTATAGTACTTACAACAACACAGAAACAGATCTCTTTGCTTTGGGTGCTCAACACAAAAGTGGAGATGACTTTCACAAAGACATTTATTGATGACCTGTATGTTTTCAGTAATACTTTAGACAGTGAAAGTTGTTATATAATCAAGGTAAACTTCTACAATATAAAACTATGGTTATTGAAAGACAAAAGAATTAACATCCATGAATCACAAATTGCAACTGCACAAAAATATTGAAAAGAAAATAATACCTAGATTTTGTTACCTAACTTTCCAAATACAAAGGTGGAGCCCATGGCACTAGTCCACTAAAAAGATCACACAATGCTGTTCTCAGACATGATCTGCTCTGTCCCTATTCCTCGAGTGTCCTACCACACCTGCAGAGCTCGCTGGTGACACTGAGCTTGGGCTGGGCTGTAGCATTGAGGATTTGTTAGCTCAGCCTTGGCTGGGAGGTCGCTGTGGAGGTGCACTCAGTGATTGATAGAACAGCCCTGGCTTTGCACTAAGCTGAATGATTTATTCTTTGTGTGTGTATGTTTTTCCCTCCAGTCTGTTGCAAAACCAAAAATAAATATTTACATTTAACACTTAATATTTACAAATTCTACAAGTCCCTGTTTTAGGCCTTCAACCGCCCTCTCCCAAGGATTTGTTTCTCCTTGCAGTGGCAAATATTTCCCTGGGGATACCTGCAATTCAGTATACTTAAAAAGGAGGTCAGGTTTATCAAAAGAAACCTTTGCTGAAGCTATTCAAGCAAAACTAGAAAACTTACTGTATTCTCTGCTGCTGTCACAGTTTCAAGTAGACAAAGGAAACTATCACTTAAATAGTAATGCTGGCAAGGTAAAGGACTTTTGGTCTTGTGCTTACTCTGCAACCTCTTGATTAACAATGTAAACACGAGGAAATTGTTAGGCTGAGAAGCCAGATTAATTCCTGCTCTATCTGTAATGATTTTGTTGGAATTTGGGCTAACAAGTGTAGATTATACAGTATGATTTAGGATGGGCGTACAAGCAGGGAGTAGAGCACAAAACAATAGTATGAGTCACATAAGTACTATTGCACAACAAATAGAAATAGATAATATGCATGTACATGTCAAATATGTAATTTAGTAATTATTCAGCAAAAAAAGAAGTTGTTCATTCAAATAAATCAAATTGTGGTGGAATGGGGGTTGTAATACCTGTATTTAGGGTTATATGCTGTTCCCATTAGTACTGTCTTGGGCCCCTCACAACAGGAGAGTACAAGGGCAGACTAAGAGTTTGTAGCATTTTACTCTGGTCATCACAACAACAAAAAGCACTGTGGATACTTCTTTTAAAAATAACTGCATACTATTGCATATTAATAGTTTTAGCTTTGTGGTTTTTAAGGTAATGGGAGTTTGCTCTTAAACATCTACAGCCAGTTGTCTTTTGCTATTAAGAGGACTCAATCCAAAGTTCCCCAGAGATGGCAAAGTCATACAGAGCCAAATCTTACTCCATCCTTTGCTGGCATTGGGTAGGTCCTTGCACCAAAGAATATTCTGCCCCTCAGTAGGGACCACAGGGCCAAGGGTCCCCAGCAAAGGCCAGACTGTCCCCTCTGCCTCGCCTGTGCTCTGCCTGCCCCACGCACAGGTGGGCAGGGGAGTGTAAGGCTCAGCAATAACACATTTCCCAGCACCTGCCTTGGCTGCAGATACATGATGGAAGTGGTGTGGGTGCCCATCCTGTGGGCTCTTCCCTTGGCTGGGGTATTGTGAAAGTGCAGCATCTGGTTGTACATAGTAACTCTGTGCTTCAAGGAGTTTACTTCCTGCTGTTACCCAGTTAGAGTGGCTTTCCAGTATCTGCCATCTGCTGATTTTTTTTTTTTTTTTTTTTAAGGAGCTAGCATATTTGGCAGCTGATGATTGTTTCCTTACTCCTTAGGAGTAAGGAAATTTCCCTGTGTTATTTAGGAAAGCTTTCCCCTCCACTTTCTTCGCCTATCGATTCAAGGTCTGTGCTGCCCTCGGAGCTCACCAGGTGCAGTCCCTTCCTACCTTTCCTGCAGTAACACAGCTGAATGTGCATGCTCCTGCTTTTTTACATGGCACAGGCAGATGCAGGTGGCATCAGTAGCTTAGGATACACAGCCTCTTAAAACTGCAGGGTCTGGCATGAAACGATCAAGATCAGTAACCAGTGGCTTTGATTTTTATGTCTTCTCTTTGAGATGACTCTTGTAGTAATGCAGTCAATGTTTTGCAAATGAGCTCTCTGTTGTGGTCGCTGGGGGACACTGGGTTTCAGTGACTGAAGAGATGAGCAGGTGATGAGAAAACGCTTGCTTAGACCCTGTCAAGGAAGTTACTGGCTTCTCAGATGGACAAGTTTGTGTTTTATTTATAGAGCAGTTTTGCCACAGTGAGGATCTTCAGATCCTTCAGGTGGCAGGGAAGTGTTGCTGTTTCTTCCTGTAACAACTTTTGAGATGTAAAGCAAATTTGTGGCTGCATCCAGCAGGTGGCAAGCACAGCACACAGAATTATGGCTGGACAGAGATGCTTCTGCCCGATGCTGCTCAGCATGTGTGTCCATGAACAAAATATACAGATAAATGGCAATCTCTGCCAGTCCTTTGTCAGCTTAGAAAGCTTTGTCAGCTTAGGGCACCGGTCCTCTTCTGTGCTATTGATAATGTGTGGGGTTATTGCCATATTCAATTTAAGCAAATGGCTGTCTCACATGTAAGGATATGAGCTAAATAGAAAGAATTCAGTATAACAATTTAAATATGTCTTTAAATGACATAGTTAAATGACATTCAGGCTTCAAATGTCAAGATACTAGCTTGCAATTAACTTAAAATTTTAATGAGAGGTTTTATTATCATACAGCTTTAGAAGTAGTGACTCATCACAGCGCCTTGCAATGTATGTGAGTAGACACATTGTTCCCATTTTTGCAGCTGGAAGAACAGAGGCAAAACTGAAAAAAACTTCCCTTAGTATAAGTGAATGAAAGAGTAGGAAGATTTCTAGACCTGGCGGTAGGCCCATTTTTTCTTTAAGAAGTATTAAACTACAGAAATAACTGTTTTGTGTGTTTTGATTTTGATCATCAGAAAATATGGATAATCCAACCACTCGCTACTTGAGACAAAGCCACATTAGAGGTGTGATTTTGAAGATAATAAATACTCTAAGTTCTTAAGGAACATGTAATTTTCCACATGATATATGCAAAGTTTTGGATTTTTTCCTAAGTTTTGTAGTGTATTTATGAACTCATTATCTTTGAGGACAATAAATGGGTGTGAATCAGGCATAAATATTATCTGAAGCTCATTGTTTGAGGTGAAAAGGACACATATGAGGATATCATTGGTGGAAACTTCCCACAGTGCTTGTCACCTTTCCTCTTGATTTGTAATGAGACTTTGAGCCAGACTTTAGTTCTGATTTATGCTAGTATAAATCTGAATTTGTTCCATATAAATAAAAAAATGTTGTACAGTGAGAAAATACCCTGGGCATAATTTTATATAAATGGAGAGAGATTTCATAAAAGCCAAGAGTAAAGTCTGATCTCGGATGTTTTGTGATGGGACTAAAAGTATTATTAGTTAAACTGATGCATAAGCATCAGTTATCGGTATATGAGTTTACTAAATGTGCAGGAATGTGAAATTTTTTAATTTTAGTCACACAGAGTATGGAGTCAACTCCTTCTGTATATAAAGTTCTTCAAAGTCAGGGTGGCTTATCACGAAAGGCTGAGTGAACCCCGTTTCTGTGCACATAGTTATTTTTTTAACTACTACAAAAATACCCCTTGACATATAAATGTACATTTCTGAAGCAATGTTTGAAATGTATGAGTAGGAATATAAATCTAAAAATATATTTATTCTATATTTAATAAATAAATCTGCATTTTATTGCATATATTATTATGAAAAAATTGCCATTAAAAATAGTAGCATAAATCAGAATAAGACCAATTTCAAGGACCTTAAATTTCCATTTGAGTTTAAAATTGGGCCTCTATATATAGCATATATTTGAAAATATATTATAAATATGATTATAGGACATTTATGTAATTAAAAATAAACCAACAAAACAAGAAACAAAGCTTCACTTCTTCAACAGAACAACTCACATATATGCAAGTCAGGTTCTTTGTGTTTCATGTTATTTATACAAGCTTTTCCTTTTGAAACACCTGTGAACTAAAGTTAGGAGTTTTCCCTCCCTTTCTTTCGTAGTTCCAAGCAAACGGTGGGATGTGGCAGAAACTCTGACACACCTGTCCAACTCTTGGGCTGCTTTCAGTAAAGAAAAACCAAATGCAAATGAAGCAGTCCTCTTTACGACATGAGCTGAAAGGCCACTGCTGACTCTTTACAGTAAGATTTCTCTGAGGTGATCCAGTGTTGCTGTAATGAGCTGTGATGTTCAGGACCGCAGATGAATCTTGTTGTTCTTGCTGCTTCGCAAGGTTGTTCAAAAGAAGAACTTTGTGAAATGCCTCAATCGGTGTTGAAAGGCCCGGCAGTCTTTTTGGTGTGCAAGCGGATATTTTCTGGTGGCCGATAGGAGAGGGAGCTCATTTTGGTTGTGAGGCTTGGATGTGTGCTGACGTTTGGTGGGATGTATTTTATTAGCTGAAGGAAGTATTTTTTAAAGTTTTTTCCAAAAAAAACATAAAAAAAGGGATTCAGACAGTTGTTAAAGTAAGCGATACAAATGGTGAAGGGCATAGCTGTATCCACAATATCGGTGATTTTGCAATCTGTTATTACATGTAATTGGATCAACACATCCAGAAAAGTGAAAACTTGATGAGGAATCCAGGAAAAGAAAAAGAAAAACACAATTGCTACAATCATCTTGAAGATATCATCATTTCTAGTCTTATTTTTTTGAATTTGATATGCCTTCTTCAGAGTCTTCCAAATTAAGGTGTAGCTTGTTAATATGATCAGAAAAGGAACTAAAAAGCCCAGCAAATTTTTGGATAACCCTAACCCGACCCGGAGGGTCGTGTTGTTGCTCTCGTAGCGGAAGCCGCAGACCGTCATGTTCAAGTTCTCAGCGAAGAAGATGTTGCGGTGGATGATGACGGGCAGGCTGGCCACGCCGGCCAGCAGCCAGATGGCGATGCAGGTCACGCGGGCCACGAAGATGGTGCGGCGGACGCGCGACTGCACCGGGTGCACGATGGCCAGGTAGCGGTCGATGCTCAGGCAGGTGAGCAGGAACACGCTGGCGTACAGGTTGAAGCTGATCCCCGCCGAGGCCAGCTTGCACAAACAGTTGCCAAAAGGCCACTGGTACTCCATGGCCGTGTAGGCTGCCCAGAGGGGCAGCGTTATCAAAAAGCACAAGTCAGCCAGGGCCAGGTTGAGAAGAAAGATGCTGGCTACGGTTTTTAGTTTCATGTAGCAGTAAATGACGATAACGACCAGGCTGTTCCCAAATATGCCTATGATAAAGATGATGCTGTAAACGGTGGGAACCATAATGTAGATGTAGCTGTGCCGACCTGAAACAGGACAGTCCACGTGGATTCTTTTAACAGTTTCTTCAGTAGAGTAATTTGGAATCATCTTGAACTCCTCAGCTGTAACCTCGTTTCAGGGAGAAAATATGAAGCTCACACCTAGGAGGGGGAAAGAGGAAGAAAACAGTATTTGTGAGAGGGATTTAATTTTTATTTAGTTTAATTTAGGTTAATTTAATTTTAATTTAGTTTAATTCTCAACTAAATGTCAAGTGTTTTGTCAAGTCTAACACAATGTGTCAGTGTCTTTGAATTTTAAAATAAGCCATCTTCAAGTGTTTTATCAACCAATTTGTATTTTGATACAGACTTTGCAGAGTAAAACAGAGGTAAGAATGTTAGGAGTAGGCTGAACATTTTTAGATTATTTTTAACACAAATGAAGTCTAAAAAACCTCTTTCAATTAATAAAGTTCCAATTTAAAATAATACTGGCTAGTAAACATATGTCAAAAATAATAAGAGACTGAAAATAGCAGATAACTATAAAGTCAGCAGATTATTTAGATTATTTTCTTTCCATAAATAGGTGACATATTTAATGAGGTAAGTTATTCAGATATCTCAGAAACTAAACTTAAGCACTCTGAATACTAATTAAGTATGTAAATACAAACTGCAATGAATTAAGAAAATAAGTGAATTTAGATTAGGTACTCATTTGTATCTCTGAAATGAATCACTAGAAATTTTTTTGTATGCACTGAACTTAATTCTTTGAGAAAATTTTTACATCACAGAAAAAGATGAAAACGCAGAGTCTCGTATTCTGTTCTACCAAAAATACCTTAAATATTCAGAGGTTACTTAGCTCTCCATCTGGCTTGGAATGATGACATTTAGCTACTAGTGAGGAGAGAAAAAAAATCTGAAAATCCAGACATGTCCTGATCTGTTGTACATTAATTACTGTACAAAGAGTTTAAGAAGGGTGCAAGGGAGAACATATTACTTTTTCAGTTGCTGACAAAATTTATGCATCCAAGAGTCGAAGGTGTATTTCTGGATCATATTAAGTGTTCAGCAAGGGTATGAAATCTCCTTTAAAGAGCACCTGTTTGGTTTGCCAAGGCCTGTGTGTTTTTGTAAGAATCCTTTCCTTATTAATGACTGATTACTTTAGAAAGCAGGTAATACAGTGTAAGTGACTCCAATACTCGTTACTTTCCAGAGTCTAAAAACAGATAGTCTTCCCTGAATAATAATGGATGTTTTAAAAAAAATAAATTTATAGTTATTATTGCATAGTAGTGTTTATTGCTGTTTTCAGGATCCAGCTATAAGCCAAACCTAACTTGTGCTCCTTAAAACAAAGATTAACTGAAATACTTTGGCTTCAAAACCAAAACAAAGCCAACCCCAAACAGCAAAGAAACCCTTTATAAATCTAAGACCCACCCTGAGACCCTGGGCAGTACAGATGCATTCAGAAAGCAGAGGTGCCCATCATTACAGACACACCAGTGATGTTATAGATGCAGCTGCTCGTTATTTGAGTGGTCAGCACTGATGGTCCTTTAAATTTGGAATGCCACAGAGTTTAGTGTTTGACTGGCTCTTGTTGGAAGAAAAACCTTTTTAAAATTATTCTATTTTTAATAGGAAAGTGAGGCACAGATTTGTTTCAGCAAAGTCCACACCAGAAGTCTGAAAGAGCCAGGAACTGAACCCAGAATATGGGTTGTAGGCAGGATCTTGTGAGCAAGGTCACCCTTTGGCTCTTAGCCTTTTGAAGACTTGTTATTTCTCTGTCTCAGTTCATGTTCTAGCATATGTGTGCATTCATAACCTGATTCATTTCTACAAAGCTAGCAGGGTAATGTCAAGATTTAGGTTCTTGATAAGTCTATCAAGTTTACAGTATCTAGTAAAATGCAACTAATAGACACTTTGTCAAGATGTGCCATGTGACTCTTCCCAGTCCCTTCAATTCATTCTGTGTGCTTCGGTTGATATAGATGTCTGGAAATGACATCAGCTATTTTTGCTATGTTAATATGTGTAACAAGCCAAGCAAACAGAGCTAACACAAAGGAAGGTGTTAGGTCTATCCTGAGCTACCTACCATTCTGATCACATGTGGCACTCTAGTACATCTTGAGCAAAACCTGGCTTTTAAACTGTGCCAAATCTCAAATACAAGGTGTTTGGCTCTGTGGAAGGTCAGCCTATCCCTGGGACAGGGAAACCACAATAGAAAGATTTCAAGATATATCCTTATCTCATCCCTTGGTTATGAAAGTAACTTTGACAGTAACTGATATGTTCTGCAACATCAAGGTCTGGCAACATTTGCCCTGTCCTAGCTACAGGCTGGTGCTGTATGTCAATTCTTTGCTCCCTTATATACCCACTAAAGTTACAGCCCACAGTTTTGCAGTAAGAATCTGTAGTGAAGTTTCTGCTCAGGAAATCACCTGTGCAAATGTGACTGGCAATATTATGGGTCAGGCCTGGTTAAGGCTGGGCAAGACCTTTCTCAGTGACAAGATTCACCAGTCCCTGGTACAATTTGGCTCTGTGGGTACTGAGTGATAGATTCAGTGTTTAAAAGGCAAATGCAGCTGAGGGTGACTATTTCCTTTTGGTGGGGTTGATTCTGCACAATGGTAGATGCCAGGGCAATTTTCCCATAGTCTCCTCACACACCCCTTCAGTGTACTGCATTGTGGTGTTTTGCTTCCAATTTCCCTTTTCTGCCCACATGGCCACCTGTACTGTTTCATGTCAGTAGAAGCTTTAGCTGAAACTAATTAATAGCATATGTACTTTCGAGAAAGAGTAACAGTGATTCTATTACCTTTTCAGAAATGTGTTAAAATAAAAAATAATTCAGTTGGGAATAAATGTCTGGCACTCTGAGGTATTGAATTGCCTGAGCATATTCTGGAGTGCTTGGGAAATAAAAAAAGGCAGAACAATTCCCATGAAGAATCAGGAATTTTTTCAAGAAATAGTATTATACCTCAATCTTCCTTTGCAAGACTGTGTAATCCTTCTGGAGGTAAAAGGCTTTAGCGTAACACTGAAGTCAGTGGAATTGTGCAAATGATGTGTCTGGTATGCTGTCACTTTTAAATTATACTAAGGAACTGCAATCAGTAATTAAAAGAAATCCATCAATATTTTCAGTAAATGACAAGGAAGCAGAAATATGTAATGTGGTTGCTTTTGGGTAAACACATATGGATTGCCATCTGGGTATCTGAAAACTGTCTGAACGTTGCTGTGAGAATGAACCTCGTAGGAGCTGTACAAATGAAGCACACTAAGGAACACACTGATAATCCCAAATGGAATTTTTAAATTTCCTGAAAATTCTAAACTTTCAGAGCCAGCCTCAGGTTGGATACTTCCTTGAGCACAACTGTAACTTCAGAGCATTAGGAAAAGCTTCAAAGTTGGAGAAGGTAATTTTTTTGGGAAGGCATGGGCCCAGGGCTGTGCTGAGTAGTGAGGGCCACTGCAGCACTGTGAATTCCTCACAGGCAGTGATTTCTTTCCCATACCACCTTCAGTTTTTCCTGTTATTCTCACTTGCCACAGTTCATCTGCTTGTCCCAGGATCATGGCTGCACACATGCAAAGCAGATACTGGCCAGTTAAATGTGTCCATTAGGTTGTGCACATTGATAATTCCATGTAAAGCATCTCAAATGACCTGTGTTAACATAATGATAATTAGATCATTTTAAGGCTGACACACAAGGTGCTTTTTCTAACAGGATTGAATTGTGACTGAATGGTGTGGTGGCATCAATCTCCAACAAATTATCTGGTGAGCAGCAAGTACCTATTCTGAGTCACTGTCCTGTTTGACTTTTTACCTTTTTTAATTACAATGATTACAATGAGTCACTGATAATGAAATTCTTCAGACTGCTCAACTATTATTTACCACTCCATTCATTGCTTCTGTTGGGTGAACATGCATCCTAATTAAACTGCCTGTGGAAATAAGGAATGCTGGGCTCATGCAAGGTAAACAGCACTTTGCCTACTGAAAGATAAGATAGCAGTGGCTTTCTGTGAGAACTTCATCAGCTAAAAATAGGTAAGCAGGTGTCACAAGTCAGATTTTGAACAAAAATGTACTTAATATTTGCTTTGACAAAGACTAAATAAACTCAGGCTGACAAATCCTGCCACAGCTCATCCACCTTATCACTAGATAATGTGCACTTTCCTTCTGACAGTGGGTGGGTTATTTGCTTTTCTTACAAATGAGAAGATAGTTCCATGTTTAAGAGGATACTGCATTCTATTTTTGTGCAATTTTTTTGCACAGTGAGAAAAGACAATGAAAAATGTTTGGAACAATATGTTCAGTATACTAGATATATTTATTTCTTCCTGGTGGCATAAACTCTCCTTTATCTTAAGCATTTAGTCCCCCCCTTTCCTAATTTATTCTAATTGCTGCGAAAGTAATGACACTTACACATGCTTTATTGCAAAGGCTTTTGGGGTCTTTTTCTATTCCACAGAGCAATCCTTTCTATCCTCATGGTCTTAGTGAATAGAGCTACTTCTGTTTTATACCTACATTTCAGCACCTTCTGTGCTTTCCTGGAGTTCCTGAGCAGTACCATTGTGAAGCCACAGATTTACCTTCCTCCTAGCTCTTATTTCTTCAGCTAGTTCTAACAGTCTGTATTTCCCACTGATGGCTTTCCTAAATATCTTTAATCCAGAGCTGACAGATGAGTTGTGAAGGGAAAGAGCAATACAAACAAGGGTACATAATTCAAGCTGTGGTGCCATTACAGTGGGCTCTTGTCATCGCTGCTGGTACCTTCCAGAGGTCAGCATCTGACTTTGTAAATGCCAGTAAATCAAAATACTGCTGGAAAGGAGCTGTGATAGGTAGTACAGCACCAGACAGTGTCTGTACATCAGCTCACAACACCAAGAACACAAAGCAAGCCTCAGCAGACCTATGTTAGCAGCTGTCCAGCTGCTCTGCAGTTTTGGATCTGGAGGTGGTCTGACATCAGAACAAACAGAACTTGCAGGACCTTGTACTGGCTTTACCATTTTCTTTTAACAACTGCAACGGAGGCAACTGCCAGTCTGTTGAAATTGCTGTTAATTTTGAG